GAGGCCGGATTAGATCTCAGTAACAGAATAACAGTGAAGGAGCCGAGGATGAAGGCAGGAGGCTGGATTAGATCTCAGTAACAGAATAACAGTGAAGGAGCCGAGGATGAAGGCAGGAGGCTGGATTAGATCTCAGTAACAGAATAACAGTGAAGGAGCCGAGGATGAAGGCAGGAGGCTGGATTAGATCTCAGTAACAGAATAACAGTGAAGGAGCTGAGGATGAAGGCAGGAGGCTGGATTAGATCTCAGTGACAGAATAACAGTGAAGGAGCCGAGGATGAAGGCAGGAGGCTGGATTAGATCTCAGTGACAGAATAACAGTGAAGGAGCCGAGGATGAAGGCAGGAGGCTGGATTAGAGGACTTATAATTCCTCCATATGATCCGTATGACATGTTAGAACCGAACCAGAACAGACTCCTCCTCTCCTGCAGGCTGAGGTCTTCCCCTACCCAGAGATTGGAAATGAGGAGCTGGAGGAGATCAAGCAGTTTGTTGCTCCGGTGGAGAAGTTCTTCAGTGAGGAAGGTGAGCCAGCAGTCGCTGTGGTCTGAGGTCAGTCAGGCTGTTTTCTCAGGCCAGTCTCTGTGTTTCTCTTCCCTCCAGTTGATTCAGCTAAAATCGACAGGGAAGCCACCATCCCAGCAGAGACGCTGAGCGGCCTGAAGGAGCTGGGCCTGTTTGGAATCATGATCCCTGAGGAGTATGGTGAGAGCTAGACCTCATCGGAGCACGGTGGTGGAGGTGGATGATCTGGGCTGGGTCTATCACAGCAGGTCCAGTCTGCTGGTTTCAGGCAGCAGACCTCCATCTGCTTGGGGACGTCTCCCTGAACTCCTCATGTCTCCTCTGGTTCCAGGTGGTCTGGGTTTGTCCAACACCATGTACGCCCGGCTCAACGAGATCATCGCCTTGGACGGTTCCATCGCTGTCACGCTGGCTGCGCATCAGGCTATTGGTCTGAAGGTAACAAAAATATTCCCACCCACTTTGTGTGTGGTCCCAGTCTGTGATGGGATGCTGAACAGTTGGCAAAGAGACTTTGGTCCTTTTCACCCGCGGAACTCCAAGGTTAGCGTCTCAGCAGAGTCCTGAGATAGAGATGAGGGTGATGGTGAGGAGGCTCTCCAGTCTGGAAGACTAGGAGCTCATCATCACCAGAGAAGACTGGCTCCATCGTGTGGCATCAAAATCTGACTTTTTTTCTACCAAATCTACTTCAGTTTTTTTCTCTCTTATGTTTCATTAAAAGAGGACAAACAAAAACCAGCTTTTATTTCTCTGCTCCCATCTGGGAGGTGAACTTATCTTATGTGGTTAAATCTCATTTAACCACAAACAATGAAAATATAGCAGCACAGTCAGCCAGCTTAGCTGTTATAAACACACGTCTACAAGCAGAAAGCCATGAAGTGTTAAAGAAAGAAAAAACAATTTTTCAAAATATCTTCATAAACCAAACTTTTTTAATTGATTGTATTGTTTGATATTCCAGTCCTAACTGGAACAGTGAATGAAGCCGATATGAAGGACCAACAGGGTGGGAATACTTCCTGACACCTTTTGTTCGGATGTCAATAAAAGCTGAGAACTATTTTCTAGTGGTTCTTCTTCTACATCTTCCTGCTTTGTGGTTTTAGGGAATCCTGATTGCTGGGACTGAAGCCCAGAAGAAGAAGTATCTGCCCAGACTGGCTTCAGGAGAACACATCGCTGCGTTCTGTCTGACCGAGCCCGGCAGGTACCCATCCCTACCTTCTACTCTGATATCAACAGCTTCTGCTTGATCTTGGACCTTATCCTCTGAACACTGATGATTTAGGGTCCAGTTCTTCCAACATTATCCAGTCTAACCCTCAGAAACACAAACTGGCCATAGAAAATCAGAGCATCAGAACACTGATGATGGCCTGGTTATCCTCCTGCAGCACTGTGTCACGTGAGCTTGTTGCAGATATTTTTGATTTATGCTCAATATTGAAGCGCTATGTTATTCAACGCCAGAGGGCCAATCAGGAACTAGCTGTGGGTCTAGATACGACCGAGGCGGTGAGGAAGTGAGTGCAAGTTTGTGTAACAACGGAGGGACATGAGGGTCAAAAAGAGCAGGGATCCAGGTGGGAAAAGGGTCCCAGTGTTCTCATGCACCCCGCTCTTCTATGTACTCCATCTTCACAAGTCGTTTTCCACAATGGCGGTCAGACAAACAAAATAAGCCTGTAAGGTACCAAACAGGAAATACGCATGGTGTAGAGAGGATGTTGATTTGACCAATCAGAGGCCTCCTGTCTGCGGTCTGCGGTCACCTACAATTTTGGAGAGGTGCAGCAGAGTGTCTGCGGAAGAGGCGGGGCATATCTCGGTTAACTGCGACACACATGCAGACGACCTGGTTTGAGCATAAATCAGCATTTAGATGTACAATGCAGGAGCAAATCTAGAGGTGGTCCTGGGGGGATGGCACTCCAAGCCAATCATTGTGCTTCCCCTAGCGAATCATTAGCCACCCCCTAGCTAATCATTAGCCACCCCCTAGCTAAT